TTTCCAGAATCGTAGTTGCGTTCTAATCATCATGTTGCATTCATGTCAACTATCATGGACAGGATCTGTCGGAAGCATAATTAGCTACCAACGTGTCTGTTATGTTAAGTTAGTAACAAGATTTCCTTTCTTTATGCATGGCTACAAATAGTAATTGCCTCATTTTCTATGGAATGCAGTCAAAGCGTCTTCCAAACAAGGATACAAGTTCAACCTCTCTGAGGCTGTCAGGGTTTTCTCACAGTTCTTGGATAAGTGAAATGCAACAAGCTTCAGACAAGTCTATAATAATTAGTGAGATTCTGGATTCTAGGACCAGAAACTTGGTGTCAGTTTCCAGAATCAGTGACTATGTGCTATCAAATGAGCTGGTTAGCATGGCACTAGCAATGGTGGCTGAAGACAAACAAATCAATCGGGTTCTCGAGGAACTTTTCGCAGAGGAGGTGAGAGTTTTATCTCCATCTGGCAACTTTTCTTTTATAGTTTTAACTGAAATTTTCAATTTATTTTTTATATTGACAGCATCATCCAAGTGTTGCTTAATTCTTGTTGAATCCAAATAAGAACCATGCATCAAGCCCACTCAACTATGAGGTTACCATTGTATGATACTTTAGTATGAAAACAAATGGCATTTTCAACATTTTGTCTTTGTTTAGTATCTCCCTTGGTTAGACAGTTGTTAACGTATGACAAACTCTCTTTCCTGAGTAGTGAGTCCATTTGGTGTTGACAATGAAGAATTTTGGGTTAAGTTTCATTAACAAGATGCAAACATGATGACATGTTCCTGTGTATACTGATGAGATATTGTTTACTCAGGGGAACGAAATGTGTATCAAACCAGCAGAGTTCTATTTATTTGACCAGGAGGAGCTGTCCTTTCATGATATAATGCTCAGGGGCCGTCAGAGGCAAGAGATCATCATAGGCTATCGCCTTGCAAATACAGAGCGTGCTATAATTAATCCTTCCGAGAAGTCACAACCGAGGAAATGGTCTCTTGATGATGTATTTGTTGTTATCTCCTCCAACGAATGAAAAAGGAACAGAGATTCTCAAGCCATCATCAGGATGCATTTTCTTGATTTGGATGACCATCAATTTTTGTTGTTGGAACTTTGCCAACTGAGTATACTCTTAAGTTCTTCGGTTAATCTCAAAGATTGATGTCCAAGACTGACAAGCGACCACATTCGACAGACAGGAGTAGTTTGCTGCTAAGATGCATTGCACTTCCCTGTTGGAAGGAAGTTGAATCTTCAATGTCCCGTTATACTGACATGACGAGGGATTTAGCATTGCTAACTGGAGGAGGCTGAGAAAGATGGAATCACTGTAAATGTGAGGAGTAGATTAAGGGGGGTGGATTAAGGGGGAATTCCCCATTGATGGCCTTCTGCCCGTTCTTTCAGTAGTTTTAGCTCTTAGGATGGGTAAAATTTTGGCCCTTGCTGATTTGTAGGGTACAAACCATTGTATTTGAGGAAGCTTCACCAAATAGTCATGTTGCGTCCTTGAGAATTCATCTCATTGTAAAGCAAATAAAGGTGCTTCAGATGCCATTTTTGTTCCTTCAGAACAAGGAGATGCAACTATGATAGAATGCTTGGAAAGTTGATGTGTTACTTAAATGTATCATGCAACCATCTGATAAATGATCATCATGCGCATGGTTTTCCATACTGGACAAGGTTCCTTTTTCCACTTCCTGCTTGGAGTGATGCAAATCGATTAAAGCCTTGGACGCCTATAGGGCTCAATACCTTCTTTTCAGCAGCATCCTGATTCGCCTGTCAACTGAACTAAAACAAGTAAAATCTGGGTTCACGATTTTCCAGAAGTCTGCAGCTTCTGCTACACAATTATGTCCCTGATGTATCTGTGATCGCTTCGCCGTGTACTTTATGGACAAAGCACCTCACAAACTGATCTCATGATTAGCCAATTATGATGGATCACATTTTATATTATGTGTCAGAATTTGCAAGTATGATAGTTCAATTTGTCCTGTTATATACGTTTTAGTGTGACACAATACTTTATTAGAGGCGAACTCCAGGATTTACCCTTTTTAAGGCCAGCTAAATTCATGACTCCTTATTTTGGTCTCTATACCTTTGAACAACAAATACAAAATCATAAAAGAAACATCAAGTTATGGCATGCCCGGGATACTCAGATAAGAAAAATTATCTAAGTCACGTAACCTTTGTAAATTTCACTATAAGATCTAGCAAACATTTTATACTCCGAACAACTTGGATGGGACATGGCTGTGATACTACTAGTGTAAGCGAAATATTATTCACTCATAAGTACGTAGCCAAATAAATGTACCCTCCGGCCATTTGGATGATGCCCCCATAAATCCACTTCATGGACGTCTTCTAGTCTATGCCTTATGTGTTCTCTAAATTAGCAACGCAAGTGTATGTATCGAACAAGTAATAAAGTGATGAATTAAAGTATTGTTCCCACAGAGATTGTAGACAAATCAATCAAATTACTTACTAAAGATGAACAATTCTCAACTTTATCTAACCAATTAAAGATTTAATAAAACAATCGAAATTCTAGAGAAAACTAAATTAACCTATTACGATTGAAATTTCCGAAAGCTAAATTAACTAAGGCAGCAAACCAAAATCGAAAATAGAAATTCACAAACTAAACCTAGAAATTTCGAACATAAAGAAGCAAGAAGCAAAGGACTTTGATCAAAAATTAAAAACGTTAAAGCATCCGATTTCACTTAACCAATCAAGATTAATTAACCAAGCTCGTCATGCAATCAAATTGAAATCATAGTGTGATGGTAGAACTTCCTAATTTAAAATACTATCCTTGGTCCGGTATAGCAACCCTACTTAGATTTAGCAACCCACACTTGGTCCATGTGAATTAATTAAACCTAAGTGCATTAAAATCTATGAATGTTCCCGGATTCAATAAATCACCCTCGATTTACTTACTACCGAAACCACACAAACAACCTAGTATATCTCTATCTAAGTTAAATTCACGGCTATATATCATAAAGCACTCGCATAGAATCTCCTTTCGGTTTCATCATGCGATAAAAATCATTCAAGTGGTGATCAAGCACTTCAAAGCATTAAGAACATGATATATAACTCAAACATACGAGATCTAGAATTGCATCAACAACTCTTGAAAATTAATCGATCATAGTTAAGCTACATTGTAACTCTAACAACAAGTAGTCTAGAACATAATGAACATTAAACTAAAAACAATAACTAAACTAAACAAGATGAAGAACTAGAACAGATTCACCAAGAATAATCAAATGCTTGATTTTTTTGTCTCCTCCTCCTTCTTCTTCCTCTTTTTCTCTCTTCTGAAATCACGTTTTTGTACCTCCTCTTGTTTTCCAAGAAACCTTAATCACAATAGGATTGCAATTAAAGGTTCTTCCAAATTAGGATTCCTCTCAATAATAAAACTCATTTTTTAGCTTGGACTTTGATTTTCTTCCCAAAATAGGCTTGATTCTTCTTGATTTCAGATTTGCATAGCTTTGATCTCCAATTTGGGAAGCTTCTACACGATTTAGAAACAATTGGATTGTTATGTATACTTTCACGCAGCTTAGGAGGACAAAACGCGTGGAAAGCCGGCAAATTACAAAATTAGTCCCTGAGCTTCCTTTAACTTCAATTACCTACAAAAATTAATTAAAATAAATAAAGTAGGCATCAAATTCAATTAAAACTAAGCAAATATTAAGTTAAAATAATAAATAAACTCTATATAAAATAGAATTATCATTATGGAACTACAAAAAAGTTCTAAATTCAAGGAAAATCACATGCATAAAACATAAGAATTGTCTGGGGGACCCAATCTTTTGGTTCAGACCAATGCATTCTACCATCAAGAGATGATTATTATTTAAATAGATAGACTGTTTTTATAACTAGATGGATAGGACTGAACCTAATAATCATCCATTACTTTATATCAACATTTTGACTTGGTATTTTAGAAATTCTGAAGTCGTGGCAAGTGGTGCACAATATTGAATTTCCTTAAGGAGACATCCAACGTGAGAAACAGAGGCAAGCCTTCCTTTTAAATGTTTTCAACGTGAGACCGCGTTTGGCGTGCAAGACTAGAAAACATAAGTTGGCCTGCTCCTTTTGTACCAATCATAGACCCCAACCTTGATTAATTTATTTTAATGGGAAATGAGATGATGTCAACTACAAGCTCACCACAAAGAATGCAGAGGCCTTAGTTTGTACCTGTGTATAGCAGACTGTATATCAAGAACTCTGTATACCATTTCGCTATTCTTATCTCAGCTAAGAAGATGACAAGTGCTGCTTTCGGTTATTACAATCCAAATGCTCTCCTGATAACTTGGTTAACATGCAATCCACCGCGACTGCCGGTGTTTTACCCTATGGCTTCCACAGCTGAGGAATGATAGAATGCTTCTTATCTCATGTAACAGGAACGACGTGGCCAAAAGAAACATCCAAATGACTCTTCCTAGGGATGTTAGAGCTAGCTGCTCTACCGCCGCCGTGAGTGGAGATGAAATCACTGTCACGGTGCCTGTTTAACGATGCCCGACCGGACAGCGTATTGGCAGGATGTCCGTTGTGATCTCCAGTTGATTCTTTCCAAGATTCTACTGCCCTGCTCAATCCTCTTTAATTCGTTAATTGACGTTCGCTTCATTAAATACTGGACACTTTTTTATGGATAGCTTCGTTTTCGCTTTAACTTGAAAAAGGCCAAAAAAAAGGCCCTTTAGAGCCACGTTTGCTGTCAGCTCTGCTTCTGTTCTGTTCGTTTGCAAGGTTATCGACAGATTTCGTCTACACCAGCAGTTGATGAGCACAAATTTTCATGTGCAAAACGTATGCTCGTGTTCGAGTAGATGCAATTGATCCCGACCTGAATTCGGCTTGCTAAACACTTGATTTTCTTGCCACAAGTTTGGTGACTCGCATGAATCAGAGTACATTATAAGAACTGATTGTCTATTCAACTTTGCTCCGGCACTGATCGTGTACCATTTTCTTCTTATTTGCTGCGAATGCTTCCATTTGTTTTGTCAGACAATTGTCTGGCTTCTTATTTATGACTAAAACTGATAAATCGACGAGGAAAAGAGACCGAGGTGACTATTTGATACAAACTACAACCTCCCCTCTGAATTTAAAAAAGAGTTAGGACCCCAAACTCAAATCAAGTGATTGACCAGATCAGATCAGACCATATCACCTGATGAACACAACAATAAATGATTACTTTCCCGGCGTGACGGGATACCCGATTCCGTGCCTTCTTGTAGGAAAAACAACAAAGAGCAAGCTGCAGATGAGGCCAATTCCAACCGGAACAATGTCCATAACCTCCTGTGCCTCGTGTCCGGCGTTCGGGTACAAGCAACTCACCACGTTCTTGTCCCGCAAGGCCACCGCTCCGAACACCAGCACCGACAACAGCGCGTGGACCCAATCTATGAACCCCCGCCTGTACTTGCTCATATCGGGCAGGCTCGTGCTCGGGACGGTTGTGTCGAAGAGGTACAACCCTTTCGACGTCGCGAATCCATAGTAGACCTGGCCATCGGATGACCTGACGCTGTCGGTGAAACTAGCGAGGAAGCAGGAGGCGGCGAGCAGCGCGAGGAGGATGATGGTGAGCGGACGCGTGGCGGAGTCGCACGAGCCGTTGCTGGTGAAGACCGGCATCAGGAGCTGGAAGGCCAAGAGGGTCCCCGTCGGGAGGAGGTTGGCCAGGTTGGCCGTGCCGGTGAGAGTCTGCGATATCGCTCGCTGCGAGAAGGAAGACGGCCGCTGGAGGCTCTTGGGCGTCTCCGGCTCATGGTCGCTGCCGCTGCTGCTGGAAGCTTCGCTCGTGGCCGGGGCAGACGGTCGCTTGGCAGATGCAGTCCTTGTTCTCAACTCAGACATCTTGGAAGCAAATATGCAATCAGAGAGAGGGGCGGAACGGACGACCGGTTGCGCGGTTCGGGCGACGGGCGGCGGAGGAGATCCCTGAGAAGAAGTTTGGCTGATGAAAATGGTCTAAGCGTGTGGGATTGTCAAAATGGGGTGTTGGAGATGGTTAGCTTCGTTTGTATATATATATACACAAAGAGTAAGGTGGAAGAATACGCTGAGGATTAGGTACAATGTGAACTTTCCATGGAGTTTCCTCAGATGAATATCCTTCCTAGGCGTGAACTTGAAGAATGGTCTTTAAAATGACCGTGGACATGTGCGTGAAGTTACCTAGTTGTTCAAACATGGCGTGGTAGATAGGAGCATTGGCCATTGACTTTTTCGCGTCGTTTTACTTCTTCAACCTGTTCAGGCTTTCAACGGTTATTGGTCTGGCTTTTTGACTTTCTGCACAAGCAAATGTCACGTGTGGGCTTTTTTGGGGCGGGCCTCTTTAGGGCCCATCACCTAATCCTCGCTAAGCCCGGCCCGCGATCCGCAGCGAAACGACATCGGCTGACTTTACCGAAGGTCGTGTCCCGCTTCCGTCTCTTCTTTTCTCTCTCTTTTGTGTCTCTGTCTCTCTCGGGGAACAAGAACCTTGTTCAGGATTTGCAGGAGCTTGTCTAATCTTGTTCTACTGATGTACGAGTAAGATTGTAAGTTGATCTTGTATCGTCGATTTTCGGTTCTGGCTGGTCATTACGTTTGTTATCTACCTGTTTCTTGGCGGACCCGCCATTCGAGGTTTACGATGATTCATCTGTGAACCCGTTAGGGGACTTGTACTGATTACCACGCACCCCACCATTCGTTGTGCTGATTTACATGGACCCAACCCATCTTTTCGTTCAGTTTCGGTCTTCTTGTTCTTGTTTTTCAGTTTCATTCTCCGTCGTATGCATACCAAAGTTCTTACCTTTTTCCTGTTTAATCATCTCCAATTTGGTTCTTCTTCTTCTTCTTCTCCTTTGCTTCAGCGGTGGAGTTTTCTATTCGCCTTTCTCTTTCAGTGCTAGAATGTCTGCAGAGCCGCTTTTGAAATGTGCCTGATGCTTTTCGTCATCCTGTCTTCAGCTGGCGAAATTGTTGACAGGTGACCTCTGGCTTTGCGTGTAATCGTTATTCAGTTGAAGTAGCTGATAAAGAAAGAGAAAGGAAAGCGGTAGTAGTGAATCCTCTTGCTTGCTTGGGGGAGCTTTTTCGAAGCTCGTAGATCACTATAACATGAAGCGCAAGCGTGGACACAAGAAAGGTAAAACGAAGAGCTCTGTCGTGGTGGCTGCAACTGAGACGGCGAAACCTAATGAAGGTAATCTCGGCATGGAGGGGGTCGATCCCGAGGGACATGAGTCCGAAATGGAAGCCGATACACCTTCTTCATCGGGGACCGATCAACCGTGCAATGTTGCAAATATTAATCCAGATGGATCCATTGATAGGACAACAGGGAGATCAGTGGGGCATGTCAAAGTCAAGCTCAAGACTTCAAAAAATTTGGAATCGCAAGGCGCGTCTTCGGATGCACCCTCTCGCAGTGATACTGACAAGAGCAGCCAGCAGGGCTTAGAGAAACAGGGTACAGTCTCTGACAAAATGGACGACAGTGCCAACTCATTTCCCGAAATAATAGCGGCTTTTCCTGCTAATCCTGCAAAGAAAGCTGGGAGCATCAAAATTAAGACGTCAAGGGCATTAGTTTCCTCTGGCAGTCAGACAAGTAATACTAATGCCGTAGCAGGGGAAGGCGAGAGTTCGCATCAAAAGGAGCCAAGAGCCCCGGATCAAAGCTCTCGCTATAATAAGGAAGAGTTAGATGCTGCTTTGATGGTAATAGATGATTGAGGGACCTGCAGAAATCTTTAGATATCCAAATTCTGGGTTTTATTTTAGTTTTTGTGGGATAGAGGGGGGAAAGTGTTCTTCTTTCTGGATGTGATTTTTGTGCATAAATATTTTCAGGTCATTAAGAAGGTAATGAAAATGGATGCAGCGGAACCTTTCAACATTCCTGTGGATCCTGTTGCTTTGCAAATACCCGTAAGTACTATATGCACTTTCCAGGGGTCAATTGTTCATTGCTCTGCGAAAGCCTTCTTGTGGGCCGCATCGCGTTATCTAATTTCTTGAATTGCTGTTATGCAGCAGTCTTTTCTAGTTCTATGTTAGATTGTTGCTCCCAAATAAAAAAAGAAGAATACTGTAAAGAGAGGGGGGAATGATTGGCTAGATGCTTGTTTCTGCTGTGCTCCATCCATTCAGTCTGTCTAATTAAATTTTTCGGTGTTGCATTTGCTGGGGGACTGTTTTGGTCCAGGACTATTTTGATGTCATTGATACTCCAATGGACTTTGGAACAATATGCAGCAATCTTGAAAATGGTATTAAATACCTTGATTCTGCGGACGTTTTTAAGGATGTGCAGTACATTTGGGGGAACTGTTACAAGTACAACAATAAGGGTGACTACATCCTGGATTTAATGAGGCGGGTGAAGAAAAATTTTATGAAGTATTGGACTGCAGCTGGTTTATACACTGAACAAGGCAAAGGAACGAATGGTCAGTTCACTTTTTCTCTTTGTAATTGTTGATACTGAACCATGTAGTTTTTCTATAAAAACTTCATTTCTCTTTCAGCCAGAAGAATGAATCAGGCACTGTCTTTCGCTAAATGAGTTTCGCTTTATTCTTGCAATTTGCACTTTCGGGAATGATGTCTAATCGTATCTGTTGAACGATCTTTATGAGTATCAACCTCATCATGAATGAGGTGATCTATTCTTTCGAATCCATATTGTCTAATGACTGGCTAGTTAATTGTGTCAGGACATTTCAACTCCTCCTTTTGTCTGTTTGCTACCTTTAAAAAGGTAGGAGGTTGTGTTCTGCAAGGTGACAGTGCACCCTGATCTGGTGAAAGAGATTTTTTCAATCCTGCTCTGTTCACCAAAGAAAAGAGAACAGAAAACAGCATAAGGGCTACTTTAGTTCTATGTTCTGTAGATGTTGACGACTCTATTATTAGTCCACCACGAACGAAAGAGCAGACGGTAGTGGACCAGTGTTTTGACATGGCTCCCTAGTTCTTGGTCTTTGGTTACACATTTCTGTTTCTTTTATTTATGCTCTGCTTGTCCTTCATGGTTGATGCCTAAGTATTTTCGGTGGCCCTTGGAATGTTAGTATGTACATTGTTCTTGTTATTGTTGTCGCTGATATTATTGTGCTAGGTGACACCGGAGTTCATTTTTTACAGTGAACTTTTCTCATTTGTTTTAATTTCAGATGGCGAAATCCAGCAAGCTGATATGTCTAGCCAAGGAAAGGGACAAACAAAAGTTGGTAAATACAAATCGAAGAAACGTCCTGGGTATGTTTGTTATTTCTTCTTCTTCACATACTTCAAATTTTGGTTAAACGAGCGAGACCAAAAACCTAAAGTTGTATGGAAACATGACACATTAGACACTGTTGCTGTGGAAGGGAACTCCAATTTTACATGATTCAGTGTCCCAAAGCCAATAAAGACAAAAAATCAGAATATAGTTAGCTGGCCTTCTTCGTTTGAACAGCAAAATTTTCCTTTCCCACTTGCTAGCCGGTATAGTAGCAGCTGGAGCAGATATGCTGCTCTATCTTTCCTTTTGATTCTGTTGGTACTCAGTGCATTTCCTTAGATAGAAGATATGCAATATTTTTGCTGTGGCACTCTAGGTTATATAATGGTAGATCCCGGAATCTCTCACTTCTTTTTCAAGTCCTAAAAAATCAAGCCAGTAGATATCCTGCAAGCCTGTTCTCTGTGTTTCGATGATAATGATCATTTTATATGGCTGCACTGATGATTTTTCCATGTGATGGTAGCTTATTCTGGAAAGGAGAGTGTATTTGATGTCACCGGCTAGTAAAGGAAGTTTTTGATCCGAGGTAAAAGTAGTTTTAAAGAGGGTGAGAACATGTAAAGGTTTTCGCTTGTAGCAGGGTGATAGTATATATTCTGGTCTGGATTGAAAAATGGAGAGAGAGTCCGCAAGCACTGGCTTTAGTATTTGACCGTGAACTTACAGTCGCTTGAGATTTGGCGAAGATGCTGTTATCAATTTCCTAGAATGAAGTTTTACGCTCATTCTTTCATGGTAAAACTGGCAACAATAGAAACATCAGGCAAAGAAGATTCTTGCTCTATCTGCCTAGAGTGTTTTTTTTCAGCTACTTTATACATCGTTGTAGGCATGATAAAAGATTCAAAAAAGTCAACTTGTTTTATTAAAGTACTGGGATTTCATGGAAGCTTCCACTGATATGATGATTAGTGTAGAGAATCCATGTGGGATATTTTTACGTCATTTGGTAGTACCAAAGCTCAGGAGGAGATTTTTATGAACAGAAGCTAGTAACTGGCATGGTTAATTGAAGGTGGATTGGGTTCAGTTCTGACATGGTAGCATGTTGTGGATTTACTTAACAACGAGAAGGAAATATTTGATTTCCTTTTCATTGAGACATAGAGCATTTAGCCAGGTTTCTTCGTTTCCATGAAAAATGACCAATGGTTTCATCGGAAGTATAGTTAATCCAGAAGTTGAGAGATATGATAATGCGGCTATTGAGCCACTGTATTTTGGGACCGGCACGGGCCACCACCAGTCCCCTAGATCAGCAATTCCTCCTACTTTGAAATAAATTAGTTGCATTGCTGGTTGTGGTGATTCATTTCAGTGAATGATTATGTTGAATTTTCTTTTGGCTCAATATTACTCATGGTGTAATGACCATACGGGTCATTCTTTTCCCTCTGAGCACTCAGTGTATGACATACTGCTAGGAAGTTCTTTAGTTTTTCTTCTATTAGTTATTGATGGCTTGAGCTTCATCTGAATGCAGAATGAGACGCCATAAAAATGATTGTTTATGTGCTATCTGCGTGTTAAAGCGGCGGAGGAAAGAGCGGGAGGAAAAGGAAAGAATGGCTAGAGGTCAGACTGGAGTTGGTGATGAGTTGAAGCAAGAGGTAACTTCCAACGCTTTTTTCCCTGGTAAAGCATGCTGCATAATGATTTGAGGTTCTTATTCTGGTTTTAGATTAGCATGAGTTTGGGTCTACATTACTAATAGTAATTTTTTTGCAATGGGGTACCATCTTGAGCTTTTGATTTGTTTACACCTAATGGGCGAGCTATTACCCAATGCCCTCTGTTTCTATTTTCTCCAGAATTTTGCTGTTGCAATTTACTGGACATGTATAGGTTTATGTTTGCATTTTCTTTATGCGCTAGAATGTCACAATGTACTATAGTAAGGCACAATCACCATCTTTTGACATATGCAACAGGATGTTGCCAACAATTACTGCTTTGTCGGAATGTTTTATGAATATAGTTTGAATAGCATGGTGCTTGTGCATTGTTATTCTGCAAAATAAAATTGATACCCAATTGTGGCATTTAACTGAGTCCTTTCCTAGTAAGACTCTGTTGGAGCTTTGTTTTGATTCTTTCTCTGATTATTGTATCCTTCGAGGACACATCACCTGTGGAAAGTCCGGTAGCTGAGGATTCATCATCAGATGCAGATGATTCTCTGGACCACAATGCGGATAATGAACAGGAAGAAAAAGGGGAAGAAGTGAAATCGGAGCTTCCACAGCAGCAAAACAGTCCTCTGCTGGAAAAGGACAATGACAATGATGAGGAGGAGGGAGAGAACGATATGGAGATTCAAAAAGACATTGAAACTCAAACTCCAGAGCAGTTGCATTCTGGCAAATCGTTGGGGGAAGATCCTACCACCTCACAGACAAAAGTGGAGTTGAGCGGGGGACATGTAGAGAGCATGCTGAAAGAAAACATAGGGGATCGACATGAAGAAACTGCAACAGTTCAGCTACTAAAGCAGAAGGTAGTACACTCTTACTTCATTTTAATATTAACTGCAGAATTTTCTTATCATAGAACAGCTGCACTGCTTGGTGGACTGACATGTCATATGGGCCAATTAGGGCCCGTTTGGCAACGTGCCAAACAGTGAAAATTTCTGTTCTTTTGTTCCCAGAAATAGTTTGGGAACAGAAATGCGTTTGGTAAACTTTTTGTTCCCGGGCACATTTTTGCAAAAATTTGTGCCGAGAAACAGTTTTGGAAGAGAAACAAGAAGTAAAAAAAAGTTACTTCTTGTTTGTCGGCACAATTTTGAGAATCAGTTTTTTTTTCTTCTTTTTCTTTTTTTTCTTTTCTTATTTTTGTGTTGTTCTTCCCTGGGCTGGGCCGGCCGCCGGCGACCGGCCACAGCCCAGGGCCGGCGAGGGCGTCACGGCCCTCGCCGGCCGCCGGCGGAGGCGAGGGTCGCCCTCGCCCAGATCGGGCGAGGCCGAGCCTCGCTGTCTCTGGGCGAGGCCACCTCGCCCAGGCGGCGAGGGTCCAGCCCTCGCCGGCGAGGGCCGTGACGCCCTCGCCAGCTCTGGGTTGTGGCCGACCGCCGGTTGCCGGCGACCAGCCATGGCCAAAGAAGAAAATGGGTACTCTAGGAATAGAAATTTTGGTTAGTTTATCAAACGCCTTCAAATACTCAGAAATTGTTTCCGGGCACAGAATAAAAAAAAATCATTTCTGTTCAGAAATAGTTCCCGGGCACAGAATGGTATTCATGCGCATCCTTAAGTGCCCATCTTTTGTTATTTTGGCCTGGTGAGACCACTTCAGAGGTACTGTACAAGGCCTCCAGATCTTGTTGCTATTTTTCTGGTGGCTGTGTATACTCCATGTTTGAAAAATTACCCAGTTAGTTCAGGAGAAATAAGCAGTTCACTATAGGGCTGATGACGAAAATTGAATTATTAAAGGATGTGGTCTGATGTTTGCAGGAGATGGAGAGGAATCACAAAGCTCTGTTGTATGAGAACTTCTGCGAGAATCCGATGCTTTTGAGTTTATGTGGAACTCTCTTCCCCAAAAAACTTGATTCTGTTTGGAGTGGGCCTCATTCACTTGTGCCCTGCCCTCGTGATGCACGTAGTTCTCTTCATGCGGCTGTCGAGTCACTCATGAAGTAGTCCCTTGGTATTGATCTTATGTCTAACCAACTTAGAATTAGATTAGCGGAGAAATTGTCATTTGAGTTCCAAATTTTGAATGTAAAAACATGTTATCATGTAATCTCTTGATGTGCTTGCGACTTGCATTCTTGTCATGTAGGATCAGAGCACTCGGTGCAGTTGAGCCACCCTGCTGAGCCAACTGCAAAATGAAATATGGTGGTATCTTCTTCTTTTACCAGTAGACCAGAAAAGTTTGGCACAGAAGACGAAGTTTTTGAATCAATTAACATTTCTAGATCAATCAGCCTTTATCAGGCACAGTTTCTTCCTTTTTGGGGTTTTGGCATGGGGTGCTGGTGGAGGGGAGATGATCAAGTGCTGTTTTTTATGCAATAGCCTAGAAACTGACTGCAACTTGCATGTACAAGCCCTTTTTTTTTAGCCAAAGCATGTACAGCCCATTCAAGCTCTTAATGAACGCATACATAATTGGCTGTTCCCATTTTATGATTGATTATGAGTCAGTACAACATCTACTTAACAAATGGCAGACTATTGATCTATGAAAACAAGGGTATGTATCTAACCAACCATTGCAAAAGCTTTGGTGAGCCAAAAAAGAGGAAAATCATCATCCTGTAGGAATGGGGCCGACAAAATAATGCTGGAGGTCTGCAATAACATGTTTGAATGTGCAAGTGAGGAAATGACTGCCACCAAGGAAAGTAAGGTTCTCTTTTGAAATGGGAGTCTATGCAGCGAAAAAGCATCATGCACATGCACGTGTAGCAATTGTCAACCATGCATTTCAGCCCAGCAGGTTTCTTTGGGAATTAACTCTTCATTGCCCTTCAAATGCCCATCTATTCCGCATGCTGCAGAGAATAGAGGTCCGCTTTCTACCATTCATGAAAAGTTAATTTGCATTGAAGTTTTCAGCACCATAGAAACCAAATCCTCATTGACTGGCAGGCCCAGGTGGAATCAGGGCAGGTCATACTTCACATGTCCAAGGTAGAGACCACATGCAGGAGCCATTGGACTTGCTGCTGTCACGTCCTTCGCATTCAAAATTCTTTCAACTGACGAGATTTTTTTAAAACAAGTCAGTTGCCAAAAATAAGGTGAAAATGAGCTCTGTCGAGAAAAAGATAAAAGTAACTTACAAGGGAAACTAATGCATGGAAGGTTATAGAAGCCAAGAAAAAGCTAGGAAGATGCTAAAGAATGAAGGCTGCAAAGTATGGACAGCATGATCTCAATGAAGTCATACGAAACCTTACTTCTACATTACAAGCCAGAAAGATTCGGATAATCTCCACAAATATCCAACAATCGCAATATCGCATGTATAAGAGTATCCCATACACATGAGAATCATTTCTGTCTAATGAAGATAAGAAATTTGGATCCTCAACCACCTTGAGAAGCAAAAAAAAAAAACTTTAAACTTGGAAATCTATAACAGTCAAAGAGGATGTAATACTTACCATCAGAACTAGTTAGGTCTCCAGTGCCAACGGATTTAAGAACACCAACTAGCAGTCTAACCTGACAAAAGGAACCAAAGCTTCGACTACAAATCAGTCTTTGCAAAGAATTAAAGCTTAAATAATGCAGTCATTGAAGTGAAATGCATCCACTCCTCATTGAAACTGGACATTTCAGAATAATATATTGTCTCCACATTTTGGAGCCTAGACAGCATCCATTGATAAATGCACCATCTCATGATTGTAAGAACTACTACAATTTTCGTTAAACTTTTCACTTTCCCTGCAAAACAATGAAGAGATCATAATCCAATGAATACTGAGGCAGATTGATGAAAAATCCATACAGCATGTCAAAAGGAGAAGGGCATACTGAAAGTCAGCAGCTCTTTCATGTGAGACAACTGGCTAGCTCCACCATTTAAATACGAACAAATAATAAAGCCAACCTCTCATTTATGAGAATCAAAGAGGTGGTTCAAAAATTTAAGTGTAAACAACGGATAAACTAAAGTATCATATGAAGCCCACCTGGTGGTAGAGGAAAGCCCGAGCACGTGCTGTTACCACTAGACATCGATGCTTTTTCCTCATGCCAAATCCAAGATCAGTCAAACCATTCGTGCTTTCAACTCTATCACCAACCAAAATAGAAGTTTCAGTGCAACCAACATGAAAGTAGTTAGAAAATATAGATTAATCATCTCTATTAAGATTGCCTTGCCTTCTTTCCACCATAGAAGGGAAATATGGAGACGAGACCACTTCAGAGACATTGAGTTCATCTAGAGTCCTGATAGGTGAGTTGGCCTGTAAGTTTGCGGTGACTGTAGCACTTATTAGGTGGTTCAAATATATAAAGCAATAACAAAGTAAAGAATCAATCAGACAAGAAGGATCACGTGAGCATCATAAGTAAACCGCACAAGGTCATATCTAGACAACAAGCGATTTGCTTTCACATGCATTCATGCACCAATTTAAGAACAAAGATGCAAGGATGCTGAATCCCTTAAATAGGCTAGAGGACCGAGAATTACAACTTGAGACAGATCTTGAAACCCCCAGTATCTTATCTTTACCAAAATTACTAACAAGACAAATCAGATGCACGCAACAAGTGAGGAAGATGTCACCATACTTCTATTAACATTAACTAATTGCCACAAGAAATATACAAAAAAACAGGCTGTGTCAATGGAATCAAAAGTGAACCATTCCACATTTCAAGGCCGTTTTTCTCAATTTTTCCTCTGATATTTTTCAGCTTCATCTCTCCAGCTTTTGTTATCTTAAACAAAAACTGCTAATTAGATAGTAATTTAAAGATGTGAAGCACAACCTGGCAACCTGATGCCCTGAAAGAACTAAAGTCGTGTAGTCCAACGAGAACTTTGCATGCTTCCTGGATAGATATCACTTAACAGGTTATTTTATGGGTGTAAATAATTTTCATAAAGCGAAGTTCACTTAAAAAACCCAAAACCAACCTGCATAGAAGCAAGATTTAGCTCTTCTGTTACATGCCATGCTCTTTCCTTCTCAAAAGTTGAGAGAGGCTCTGGCCCGGAAAACAACCGATAGAAGTATCTAACAAGAATTTCCAACCCTATGATCAAAAAGATATCTCTAGTATCCAAACTGGACTGATATGGTTGACCACTTAGACCAAGCCAACCAGCTTTAATCAAACATTACAAACCTCACTTAGATCATATTTCACACTTTTTATCCACCAGATAAAAGAGTTAAAGTGTCATTCAGAAATATCAAAGTTCTATGAGAAAACAATTTTATGCACCCAGCCAAAGACAACAAACACACAGGTAAAACGTTTTCTTAGATCTCGTAAAAAAATTTCCCCAGCATCATGTGGAAAAACCGATTAATGTAAATTAGCATTTGAGGCCACAGGGGGTATAAACCTATCAAAATTATTTCAAAAATATAATTCTTCAAACGTGATACCATAAGCTCTCAGCAATAAAATCAATTCTAGTTGTCGTTAATTGAACTTGAGACCAGTTCCTGTAAATTTGACTCGTCCTTTATTTTCACTTTATAGAAGCACTACCAAAAAAGTGGCTTGAAGGGTAACTAGAACGTCCCAATTACACACAAGCCCTTTCAGTCGATTTTCAAGGACAATTGCAAATCACAGTTTGACAGCCATGGCGTACTCACAACGGATAATGCAAAAAAAAGATTTCCCATTATCCGAAGACCCATAAAAACACTACTATCAAGCTTCCTTTTCAACATATTTTGATCAATGCAATAGGAGAGCTACCCGTATTACAACTGTGAGACAGGTACAAATGCACTTTAAGCAACAACAAGAATACCTACGTTCGCTCACAAGCTCTATATCTAGCATGGAAATCAGCCGGAACACATCGAACGTCAATAATTGATATATCACCTTCACTTCTCTGACATAGAAACAAACAAACCATTCAGAATTCGCTCGTTCTTACTAAAACCAAAAGTTCTTGGCACGACACAAATACACTTCTATGCACGCAAGCAGGATTATGTTTGCTTGTTAATTTAAAAAATAAAAAAAGGGAAAAGAAAGACAGCAAAAAAAAAAATAAGAATCAAATATTACAAAATAAAAAACGAGCATGCTCTTGTCAAAGGTTTAACTTGCAAAAAACAAGCATCCGGCAACTATAGAAAAGCAATCAGTCAACTGACTCCATCTGATGTGTGACATTGGGCCTCAGTGAATCGTCCTTTTGAGCACGAAGCTAGCAAGAACAATAAAAATCCAGTAGCATGAGCTGTATGCCCATGGAAACAGGTTTCAGCATAACGAATATTACTGCCGAATCTTTTCCTCTTCTTAAGAGACAGTGAAGAGGCTTTGAATAAGACAAAGGTTAAGGGACAACAAGAAAAAGAGGGAGAAAGAAATTACAGATACAGTCAGAAATCTCCAATAATAGAGTTGACACTTCCACTTCGAAAGAATCCTCAACCACTCTCTAGCACCGAAAGATAATGGCTAAATGTGAAAAGTCGACTAACTACAAGTGACCGCTATAGTGATAATGGGGAACTAACAAGATGAGGACCCGCTAAAAAAGAGGAAAAAAGAGAGAGGAAGAAGACCTGCAAAAAATGATTCACGGCTCGCCTGACCACTTGAGGTTCATGAGGTGCCAACTGCATTAAACGAAAAGAAAACATCATAAGGCCCAAATCTAAATCGAAATAATTCAAATGAAACGTCGATAAATTGCTGGAATTTAGGAACATACAGATGACATTTTCTTAAGTACAACAACAGATAATGATGCGGGACTTCTCGACTAAGTCCTCAACAAGAATATCACTGTATGACGTACGTCACAAGATATAACTTAAACCACTCAGTCTGAAAAAAAAATGTTATCTTTACGCGAAGGATGACCTACCACTTCACCAGGCTTTCTTTTGCTAATCCGTTCCACGTCTACATGGCAAACATTGGACAGAGCGTGGACTCCTGCATCCTACAGATAGAGAACGACAGAGAACAATTGAAAACCGAGGACATCCGATATGCATAACGCATCTATCCGAGAAGAGACGCCAACACAGGGTGAGAAGAAGAAAACAACTCACGGTTCTACTAGAGCAGAAGATCGAAACCGGCTGACCAATGAACTTGCGAAAAGCCTCCTGATGAGAATGAGCAAGTCAGCAAATCAAGAAAGTAGAAAGAAGAAAGCGAAGGGTATGCGCTGAAGCAAGCAGGGCATAGAAGGACCTCGAGAACGCCGACGACTGTTCTGCAATTAGGCTGCTGCTGCGACCCCGAAAAGCGAGTCCCAATGTACTCAATTGCTATCAAGTAGCGCTGTGCTCGAGGGTTTTGGTTCATGGGCCGACTCGCAATGCCTGATTCCGGTGGCTGCTGCGCTTCTTCTTCTGCTTCTCCTTCTCCTTCGTCGCCGTAGCGCTCGCTCTTCGCTATTTTGCACGGTCTCTCCGAACTCTCGACGGCACAGTCGCGCGAGGAGGATTTCGGATTCTCCGTCATCCTCTCATCGATGATCTCGCTCTCCCCCCGGCGACCAAACCAGCCGCGACGGCGATGGGTTTTGCTTTGCTTTGGGGGGTTTTGTCCGAGCAGGGGACTGTTTGGGCACAGGATCTAACCTATGCCTAAACCGGCGTGGTTTGACAAACCGAAACGGCCAAGACAACATCAGCCCTCGTCCCGAATGTGGTTTATCCATGTCGACCAAACAACAGCCCAGAAATCCACGTGGCTCCCATCCTCCCAGAAGACTCCTAATCAGATTACTTACCAAATTACCGATTACAGTCGATACTTTTATTTTATTATTCAAGAATTAATAATATACATTTAGAATTACTTATTTAATATTTATAGAAAAAATTAGTATTCGCTCACATGTGAATGTTACTATTCATAAATATACGTATGAAAATTTTCTAGTAATTAGCATGGACGAGTTACTACTCTTCTATATAATAAGTTGGGGTAAAAGCCATCAAAAATCCTAAACTATGTCCATTGTGACACATTTATCCTAAAAAATTTCCCGTGACACTAAAAATCTCAAATTTGTACTTGTGTGGCACATTTAATCTCCTTCAAAGTTCCATTAATAAGAACGGTTAAAAACCTGCCTATGTTGACGTATAAAAGCAAATATCGTTGATATGGCGTGCCACATGACTTAAGTAAAATAAAACAACATTATTTTGGCTAAAAAATCATTTCACGGAACCTTGATGGAGGGTAAATGTGTCGCATAGGTACAAGTTTTGGGTTTTTGATGTTACAGGAAAAAAATTTTAAGATAAATGTATCATAGTAGGTATAGTATAGAGTTTTTTGTGGCCTTTTGCTTATAAGTTAATAACATTTTAAAGAAATTATCATCACTGAAATGTTATGATTGTTTACAATTTTGGAATAATCTCTAATTATAGATAAGTCGAAATGGAGAAATTAATATTAATTTAAGATCAGAGGCACGTACTTACATTTTGGGAAAATGACACAAATGGTTCTTGAACTTTAGCTCAATATACAATGTGATCCCTAAACTTTTAATTTATTCAATGCGGTCCATAAATTTTAGTCCAATGTGCAATGTTGTCTATAAACTTTCAATTTGTTCAATGTGGTCCCTAAACTTTCGGTACATACTACATAGTCCATGGACTATGGACAACATTGAACATTTACATATAGTTCAAGGACTATATTAAACATGTACCAATTTTAAGGATCACATCGAACAAATTAAAAATTCACGGACCACATTGCACACTGGGTCAAAGTTCAAGGACCATGGGATGTGTTTGGTAACCATTCTATTTCCGGAAACAATTTCTGTTCAGAAATTATTCTTTTTTATTTCGTGCCCGGGAACAATTTCTAAGCATTTAAAGACGTTTGGTAACTGTCCAAAATTTCTATTCTTGGAATAGAAAAACAACATAAATGCGTTTGGTAACTACACAATTTTTTTTTATTAATAATATTTTTTAAAATTTTTAATTTTTTTTTTTCTTCTTCCCCTTCCTTAACCATGGCCATGTCATCGGCGCCGGTGACCGACCATGGACCAAGTCACCGATGCCGGCAATAGGCCAGGGCAAGCCCTCGCCGACTCCGGCGAGGGTTGCCCTCTCCAGATCTGGTGAGGATTGGACCCTCGCGGCTTGGGCGAGTGCTGCCCTCGCCACTGCCCTATCCAGATCCGGCGAGGGCGGCTAGCGGCCTGAGCGAGAGCCGCCCTCGCCCTTGCCAGCGACCGGCCATAGGCCAAGAAGAATAAGAAGAAGAAGAAAAAAAAAACTATTTTCCATTTCTGATTCTTATTCCCAAAATCAAGAAGTAACTTTTTTTTGCTGCTTGATTTTGTTCCAAAGCTTATTTTGGAAACAAATTTGTGCAAATTTGTGCCCGGGAACAAAAAATTTATCAAACGGATTTATATTCCAAAACTGATTCTGAGAACAAAAGAATAAAATCGGTTACTATTTGTTACCAAGCACAGCCTTTGTGTCCTTACCCCTTAAATTTTTGATGTACTAGAATCGAAAATTTAAATGATGTAGATATATGGTACGAATTTAATACAACGAAATTGCCTGTAAAATCTTGAACATCTCCAGCAAAAAGTTCACTCTTAGTCATACGCAACATTGTGCACCGGGTAAGTTCCTCCTAAGCCTATCCATCCCAACTTGTATGTATCCAGAAACAAAGATATCAGCTAAAATTACAGATTTAATTAATTTGCACATTTCAAAACCCAACCATTACAATTAGAGACTCCCACAATCTCTCACATCTAACATTAACTGATGACCAATTCTTATACCAAAGGATCAAGCTTGAACTGGGTGCTGCTTTTATCTTTCTCAGGACTCGTATAATCGCGGGATTGTACGACCGAGGATGACGGGGACTGGCGGTCCGGCGAGTGGCGTGGGTATTCAGAGAGCATCTGAACCACCTCTCTCATGGTGGGCCGCTCGACGCTGTTGTCCTGGACGCAAAGCATGGCGATGAAGAACAGATGCATGGCTTCGTCCTTGGGCACAGCTTTCAGCTTGGGATCGACAATGCGCGTGGCATCCTCCTTGCGGCAGCCAGTCATCTTCTTGCTCCATTGCACGATGTCCACGCCTTCCCCGAAATCGCCCACCGGGCGCCGGCCCGTCAAGAGCTCCAGCAACACGACGCCGAAGCTGTAAACGTCGCTCTTCTCGTCCACCCTCAACGTGTATGCATACTCTGCAGAGAAACAAAGGGACAACAAGATGCACAGTTAGTCCTGTTAACACAGTGCATATCGGATGATGCATGAGATAGATCATGTCGACAAATGCACGAAGCTTCAGGTACGTGAATGGGGATGGTCAACTGCATGTTCTTAAGCAATGTAATTAACAAAACTCCAAGTTTACAGTGGGGATGGGCGCAATTCATTTGACATGCAAAAGAAACTGTAAAGACAAGGGAGACAGCGAGAGAAACCCTTTACACGTAAGCGAGTGGGGGGGCTAAACATGAAAGAAAAGAAAGGTGGGTGGGGGAAGGCAATCTCCATACGTATCTTGGCATGAATGGATGTGCGATTGTCTGATTGCTTTTCGCGAAACTCAAAGCCATGTAACGTTACTAGTCCATCAGAGTCAGACTCTTTAATTTGACTCAGACACACAGTGCCAGGGAGGAGAGAGAGAGAGAGAGAGAGAGTCTGGGTTGGGCCCCACATGCTGGTGGTACTGAATATAGAAGGATCAGGGTCTTAAAGACAAGGCTGCTCTGCTCGGGTGTGATCACCCAAAAAATTCCAGAGTACCGAACTTGACTGGATTGGACCACTAGTTGCTAATGTTGTTATGCTTGTTTACGTGGTAGCACAAATCACGGGTTCTTTTAGAGCGCAATTGCATGGTGTGACGTGTGATTTCTGATACTCTGGCAAGTGGAGAATCACAAGTCAAACGACATCATCAAATTACTTCAAGGACATGGGCTTCTAGCAGTTTGTCCAAATGTGCAGATGTTCATGTGTTCTGCTCAACCGAATTCGAGTCAGTTCAAGCTCCCTAATCTCAGTGTTTTAGGACCCAAATTCGAGTCAGTTCGCGATGGATTTGCGCATCTGACTTGACGGGCCATCTGCTTCAGCATTGACTATTTGCCCAGCAATCCGATGGGCGAAGTTTTATCGATGACCCACCAAAGTCTGAGGGTCTGACTTCACTCATGTTTAACTAACTTAACTGACGATGTCCCCTAGTAAATGCTGTGTTGTGAAGGTTTAACAGAAATAGGAAATGTGATGCGATGCAAGAGGTCGTTGATTTGAGTGTTACATACCAGGAGCAATGTAGCCATAGGACCCAGCTATTGCAGACATGCATTCGGATCCGCCTCCATCCACCAAGTATTTTGCTAGGCCGAAATCCGCGACGTGTGCCTCAAAGCTCGAATTGAGGAGAATGTTGTTCGACTTCACGTCTCGGTGTACGATCAGCGGGGAACAATCGTGGTGAAGATAGCACAAGCCTTTGGCAGCTTCGATAGTGATTTTGTACCTTAAATTCCACCCCAGGAATGTGCCTTTCTTCCCATGTAATGCCTCCCCTAAGCTTCCATTTCTCATGTACTCATAAACCAACAGATTGGCTTCCTTGTTCGAGCAGAACGCTAGCAACCTCACTATGTTTCTGTGCCGGATGTTGCCTAGCGTTTGAATTTCTGCTCTGAACCCGTGATCGTGGCTGTGGTTGCCAAAGCCCAGAAGCTTCTTCACTGCGATTTCAACCCCGTTTGGCATTTTGCCATGATACACAATCCCAGCTCCTCCTCTCCCGATCACATTGCCATCCTTTACACATTCAAGGATGTCGGAAACTGTGAAGTCTAGCTTCTGGAATGATGTCATCTTCCACGAGCCAGAACTGCTTCTTTTGAATGACTTGGCTTTCAATATGGCGACAAGAGCAAATACCAGAGAGCACATCAAAAGCCCAAGGGCAAAAATCAACTTGAAACGTGTAGTGCTGTTGCTGGGCTTGCTCGTGAGTGTGGTGAAATTGCAAGGATTGTTTATGAGAGAACCACAGAGCAGGGGATTGCCAGCAAAAGAAGAGGCGTTGAAGAAAGCAAATTGTCCCGACTCTGGAAGTTTACCAGAGAACTCATTGAAGGAGAAATCTGCTGTTGTGAGGCTCTTCATGTTACCAATTGCTTTTGGTATCTCTTGGTTCAGGTGGTTTCGTGATACATTCAAGTAATTGAGGATGCGGATGTTAGAGATATCAGGTGGAATGAAGCCAGAAAGGTTGTTTTGGCTCAAATCAAGGAAAGTGAGATGGTTGCAATTTCCGATATCTGGTGGAATCTCACCTGAGAGCATGTTCTGGCTGAGATCAAGCTTCAGTACTTGATGCAGCTCACCAATGGAAGAAGGGATTGGACCGGAAAACTGGTTTCCGCTGAGCAGAAGGATCTGGATGGAGGAGTAGTTGGCCAGTGAAAATGGTAAAGCGCCCAAAAGTTGGTTGTTTGATAGGTTGAGCTGGCCCAACAAGGCAGGCTTCGACGAGCTATTGCCATTTTCTGACAACGTTCCTGATAAGTAGTTACTTTGTAGCTCC